AAAATAATAATTTAGATTGATATTTTCTGAAAACCCATGAAACAGTGAGATCACACACATCAAACTGCGAAATAGTGAAGGACTACTGTGTAATCTATTCACATGGCTATAATTGACCTCAGGATGAACACAGCCAAAGAAAACAGTCAAACACTGACTTGACTCCTCTAACAGAAACACCTCCACTAGGGTTAACAACTTAAGTTTGAAGGCCAAAAATTAGAGAAAAAGAAGGGCTGCAAGGACAGCCAACATTTTGGCCCTAGCCTTTAGGTCAGTGAGGACTCAGGACATAAGAGAATCTGTACTGTAACAACCTGTAACTTAGATGTGCCCAAAATTTTTTGACCAAGGAGATTATGATGCCACAGAGGAAAGTGATCAGTGATGTACAATGCACCTAAGGAGAGTCACATAGAGATAAAATATTCTCTCAGGCTTTCACAGAAAACAAATTGGTCAAACCATGGCCATGACCTATCCGCATGGCTGACACTGACAAAGGATCTAAAAACTGCAATATAGGGTTTCAGGGTAAATCCTGAGGATATTTGACTGACCTTGGAAGATACAAAAGTTACATTTCTTGATATATAGGTCTTGCTTTATGTTGGTCTTAACCATCCAGCAGAAAAGTATAAAAATGAAGTATAAAAAGTAAAGCCATAGTAATATGCTGAGCTGTAAAAGGCTCAAGTCAACAACTGATATTGCCAGTCCTACAGATAACCCACTGCTATTATAGACTACTGGACTATATTGGATTATTTTGCTGAATTCACGACCTACAATATTTACATGGCAATGGAATAACCATCTCTGAAAAAAACTAAAAAAGTGGGGGGAGGATACAAATGAAGGGTCATTTTGTATCTGTATATACAATATAGTTAGGATCAAAATACAGCTACTTTCTCTTAATTTAATGAGAAGAAAGATTTATACTAATAGCATTTGCACAGGATATCATGTATGCATCCCGTACTATGAAAACCACTACAAAGACAATATGCAATGTATTAATTATTGAAACTGTCCTACTAATCAGTTTAAACTGTCTCATTGCTATTTATTTCTTAATCAAATTAATAAAAAAAGAAAAAAAAAGAAACACCTCCACTGTCATTATGACACCACTACTTCTTTAATAATAGGGTCAAATCGCCATAAATTTAATCATGAGCTAAAAAATTCAAGGTATCTTCTCCAGCAGCAAAACCAACCTTCCTAAAGAGACCCCATGTTTCAGAGCTCATTTCTTTTTCAAGTTTTAAGCTAGTGATACTGCTTGAAGGAATAGGGTCTCATGAACAATATTAACTGAAGAATAGGGTGTGGTTTCCATAATTCTGTTGTTACATGGTTAGAATGGGTATCAAGTGAGTCCAGAAATACCATATGCCACAAGGAAAATTTTCCATTCCTTTTTAAAAAGAAAATTTTAATAAAATGACTCAGGCTGCACCCTTATGTGTGTCTGGCTCTTTTTAATATATGACACTAAACTGTATCGCTCTCTTTGACAGTTGTTTCTCTGTCTTCCATTCTGTCACTAAAATGTAGATTAATTTTCTCCTCTTTGCACAGCCCTATCCTTACTCTGAGAAATGCAACACTAACCGCATTAACCATAGCTCTGACTTGGTGATATTCCTACTTGTATTATTTTCCTTTACTCATACTTTTACTTGACCTCACCAGTACCTCTATTTGCATAGGTCCTTTGCTTTCACCACCAGTTCCTTTTAACTTATTTTACAGTCAAGTTTAATCACTATTGGAATGCCAAAAAATCTGTAATTTCTGTGATTCATTCATAAAGGTAGTAATTGACTTTTGACTCCTCCCACACCCATGTTATGCACAACTGAAGTAATACACATATATTCTTTAAGAATCAGGGCCATTATAAAGTTCACTAGAGCTCTTGAAACTTCTGAAAAATTTTGGCAGAGGGTTTAAGCACTTATATGGCAGGTGGCTGGCAAAAGTAGAAATGAAGAATTTATTTGATAAGATCTATTAAGTGTTGGTAGTTCCTTCATACAAAAAAGAAAATTCAATTCTGGACATACTGATTCTAGGACATAAAGTATAGCAGATAAGCATATGGAGATGCCCAACAGACAATTGAAGACAACTTTTTTTCCCATAATTTTATTGAGGAACAAATTGCAGTGAGACAGTTTCAAACCAAATAGGTAGGACAGTTTCAATAATTAGCACATTGCATAAATTCTTCCTAGTGGTTATTTGCTCTACAAGATGCAGACATAATATCCTATTTACAAAAACTATTAGAACAAATCCCTCTATTCATTAAGAGAATGTAACTATATATCTATCCTAACCATCCTGAATACACAGATACAAAAGGGACATTCATCTGTATCCCCCTTTTCGTTTAGTTCCATTATTTGAATATTATAGGTGTGTTAACTCAGCAAAATATTCTAAAAGAGTCCAGTAGTCCATAATAGTATTGGGTCTTTCACTTCACTGGCAATGTCAGAAATTGTTCACCTGAGTCCCCTACAGCTCAACATAACAGCATGGCTTTACTTCTTATACTTCACTTTTATACTTTTCTGCTGGATGGTTAAGACCATGATAAAGCAAGACCTATGCAACAAGAGTTGTAGCTTTTGGGTCTGATAAGGTCAGTCAAATCCCCTCAGGATTTTTCCAGAGATCCTGTACCTCAGATTGTAGATCATTTATGAGTGTCAGCCATGTGGATGAGTCATGGCCATTGCTTGGCCAATGTGCTCTCTGTGAAAGCCTGAGAGAATGTTTGCTCTCCATATGACTCTCCTTAGACACACTCTACATCATTGATCACTTTCCTCTTTGGCCCCATAATCTCCTTGATCAGGAAATTTGGGATACTACTGAGTTACAAGACATTACAGTACAAGTTCTCATATGTCCTGAGTCTTAATTGACCTTGGAAGGCTAGGGCCAAAATTTTGGCTTTCCTTGAGGCCCTCCTTTTTCTCTAATTTTGGTCTGCAAACTTAGGTTATTAACCCTCCAGAAAAGAAGCTTTTTTTATTACCATACAACCTAGGCTGCTAAGCTTAAGCTCATTATCTGTCTGCATATCAAAGATCTTAGGCATAACATGGGACAGGTATTTTTCATCAAGTATTGATATGTTGAACTTTAAGTCCCTACAGAATATGATGAAAAAACATTTAAAAATTGAAATATATTTTAAAAATTAGGCACAAAGAATTATATAATTCTTATGTTTACATATAAGTCCAGAAATCTAACCATATACAACCTTGAAGAGGACAGTCCCACAACATTTGAAGACAACTTTGAAGAGGTCTAAATTGAAAGGGGCCACGGAGATGGCTCAGTAGAATAAGTGCTTCCCTGCCAACCTCAAGGGTCTGAGTTCAATCTCTGGTACCGCCAAAAAAGGAAAAAATGAAAAAAGAGATCTAAATGGCAAGAAAGACTGACTAGGCAACCCATTTCACATTATTTTAGATTTACTAACTTATCACAAAGACAGCTTAACTATGCATACAGATAATAATAACTCAGTGGTAGAGTGCTTACCTACCATATATAAGTTCTGTGTTTAATCACCAATATGTAGGAAAGGTAATATTAACTGAGCTTTATATCTATATTTCAACTATAAAAACTGAATGTCAAAGCCAAGCACATACTTATAACAGCACTTGGGAAGCTGTGCAGGAGTTTCAGGCTAGCTAGCCTGAACTACATAGAGATCCTACCCCCCACAGCCCAAAAAACACCAAAAATACTAAATGTCAAATCCAGAAGGACTCTAGTACAGCATTTGAACTTAGGACATGAAGATATTCTAGCAGGTTTTTTAAAATTACATGAGAATGTAGTGTATCCCTAGATAATACTCAAAAAAAGAAGTTCCAAGAGTTAATGTCGTTGGAAAGTGCTAAGTTACTTTCTCCTTCCACCACAGATTCTTCTGAATCAAATCTATATGATCTTGGCTGCTGTTCACCTTATTTTAAATTTACATGGCTTTAAACTTAAGCTACTCTTAAAAATCAAAATTGTTCCTAGTTGATTGCTTGTGTCTATAACTTTATTACTCTGGAGGCTGAGGCAAAATGATTGCTCTAAGTGTGAGGCCCACCTAGACTACATAGTGAGTTCAAGACCAGCATGGACTATAAGGTAGAGACCCTGTCTCAAACAACTTTAAAAAAAAATAAATTTTTTAAAAAATTAAAAAAAAACAAGAAACAAAATTCATTTAAGAATAAAATAGTTAGGGCTGGCCAGATAGCTCAGCAGACTAAAGTGCCTGCTTAGGCAAGCTTAGGCAATTGCAGCGACCTTGGTTTGATCCCCAGTACCACATGCTGCACCAGCACTGACCCCAGGGCAAGCTGAGCTGGCCACAAAAAAAAAAAAAAAAAAGAAAGAAAGAAAGAATAAAGTACTTAGATGGTAAGCTTCAAGGTCTCTCATTTGGATCTGCAACAGAGAGAGATCCCTCAAGATTTGCAGATTATCTAATTTGAGAGCATTTCTGTAGCACTTAATAGCTTCATCATATTTCTTATCAGAACGCTGCAGGACCCCATACACATGCCAACCCATTTAGGAAATGGAGACACTCACAGACACTAGAATATACTATGCTGTATCTCTCCTACAAAGACTTAAGAAAATGGTGTTTTATTTCAGAATATTCTAGGGTCAGAAGAAAAGGGACAGTGAGAAACAGGTAAAAAGGAACCAAATCAGCTTTCATTGGACAAATGTTAAATTATTGCAGAGGGTGCTGGGCTCACAGAGGTTTAGCATTCAATTATTTCCACTTCTGTGCATGTTTGAAATTTCCTGTATTAGTTTATGTAACTTTTTAAAATTTGTAGCAAAATTTCTTCACATTTTTTCTGCCCTCCATCCTCTCACTTTTTTCTTCCAGAAACTTCCAACATTTACTTATTTTTAAAAATGGAATTAGCTTTTAAAACAAGTTTACAATTGATCAATTTTAAAATAATATATCATTTAATTCCCTAGTGATATGAAGATGACAAAATTAAGTTTTATTCACCAGAAATTAACATCTTAGCATATCTTAAAGCCAAAAACAAAGACACAAAAAGCACAACTACTGTGCTTATATGGCGTCTCTCTTCATTCTGGGGTAAGCAATGGGACAGAAAACAGATACTTAATATTTTAAGTATAAAACACTTTTGGGAATTATATGCAAAAGGAATTAACATACAAGGGTACTAAATGAAAAAAAAATATATATAATATACACATAGATATAGATATAGATAGGCAAAAGGAAAACCCATTTCATGCAAAGATCCATCCTTAAAAAGCATATATTTTTGCATATTGAAAACATATACAAAGATTCAGTAAAGTAACAGCTTTTTTTCTTTGTTAACAGAAACTAAGATAAGAACCAATAAGGGGCTGGGGAGATAGCTCAGTAGAATAAGCGCTTGCCTGGCAAGTGCAAGGGCCTAAGTTCAATCCCTGGTTCTGAAGAAAAAAAAAAAAAAGAACCAATATAATATCTTTAATCCTAAATAAAACTTGGTGTTTGTAATGCTGGGACTAAGCACTCTATCATTAAATTACACCTCTAATACTCTCTTTAAAATCTTTTTCCCAGCAAGTGCAAGGGCCTGAGTTCAATCCCCAGGTCTGCCAAAAAAGTAAAAAAATAAAATAAAATATTTTAAATAACATATCTAGCCTAACTTATTTTAAAATAGTAAATTTTTCTTCTAAAATTCCTAAAAGAAGTTCAGGACAAAATTTTCTATATTTATTTGGGACAATAGGGAGGTATGTCAATTCACACATGTTTAAGAAAAAAAATCATGTTCAAGTCACACATAATTATCAAAGTATTTGTTATGGGTCAGCTCAGATGAACCAGATCAGCCAAATTGGAATTTGAATATAGAGCCTTTTATTTACTGAGCTCAGGGTCATCAGCCAATTTTCACGTCAGCCAGTTTTCACATCAGCCAGTTCTCACACAGAGACTGAGCAACCTCAAACCCAGATAGCAGGGGGTATTTATAACAAAAATCACATCCTGTTTGGTAAGTGAATTTGTTATCTAGCACACAACAACAAAAAACTATAGTCATTTGACACAGCTGCAAACTGTTTGTTACTAAGGGGTCTTTTACATATTAGCGATAAGTGCATATTTTTATAAGATATATCTTAAGCTGACTATGCTTACAGGATATGGTTAGGGAGGGGGTTTGTTTCAGCTCACTGCCTTGACAAGAAACAGTTATTCACTACTAAATAGCCTTGAGCAGAGAGTAAGAACACATTCCTTAGAGTAGATAATGGGAAGCACAAGGTTTTTCCTAGTAATTTCCCACAGTGAAAGCACAAAATTCAGTTAACCCATTACAGTATCCTCTAGCACTGAGCTCACTTCTAGGAAGTACACACACACACACACACACACACACACACACGCACATATATATATTATACATATATAATATATATACATACAAATTTCCTTCAAAATATTCTAATGAACAAGGGGAAGGCAAAAATGAATCTAGTATTATGAAATGTTGATAATTACTGTGGCTGAGTAACAGGTATACAGACTCCACTCAATTCTGTTCTATGTTCATTTGAAAATTTTCATAGCAGAGTTTTTAAAGTTGAACCACAAAAAAGACCTAGTAAAGTTAAACTGTGTAGATATTGCAAAAGGATACAGACATGACTCTTGACATCATTACAAAGGCCTTTACATACAAATTCACATGCTGCTTTTTTTTCTTAACCAGTTCAACCTTTCATAGCCAAAATCTCTAAAAAATAATTTAACCCCTATTTACACATGAAAAATTCAACTTATTCTCTTAGCAGTTTTATTTGAAAAGGATTATTACTGTTCCAGTGCTTATGCTATTCATCTTTTTACTCTCAGAACTTATCTCCAAGTAGAAAAGTAAAGCTACAGTCAAGATTTTGCTTAGAGTTTAACCCAAGTCTTTTTCTAAAATTCTTTAGTTTACCCGGGTGTGGTGGCACACACCTATAACCCCAGCATGAGGCTGAGACAGGATTACTGTGAGTTTGAGACCAGCCTAGGCTACAATGTGAGCTCAAAGCCAGCCTGAACTGCATAGGGACAGCCTGTCTCCAAAAGACAATCAATCAATCAATCAATCAATCAATCAATCCTCCTTTGGCTAGAATGGAGTTATTAAAATGCTAGAATGGAGTTACTAAAATGCTAGAATGGAGTTACTAAAATGCTTTAGAGGACTATATGAAAGAGATATCCTGCTGAAGAAAACTAACAAAGCAGGTACTTGAATCCTGAATTAAATCTACTGCAGCAGTTTCACAGTTTTCCTCTGAGGACAATTCTAATCAATTGTCATTTAATTATCCCTTGTGAAAACAATACAGAAAGAGATACATATAATTGAAAGAGTCATCTTATTCAATATTGGAACAGATTAACTAGCTAGTTAAAACAATAAATAACATGAGTTTTTACTTCAAGGGCACAACAATGGTCTACAGGAAGAGCCAGGAACATGTTGAAGTTGATGGTGATGATTAGAGTCAATTCTCAGAATAGTCCACAAGACAGGCTAGACAAGAGCAGTAGTTTCCAAACTGACCTCCATATATTCTATCATTTCCAGAACACGGCGATCCAGTGGCATAACTGAAGATCTTTCTTTCTTTCTTTTTGCAGTACTGGGTATTGAACTCAGGAACCTGCGCTTGTCAGGCAAGTGCTTATTCTAGTGAGCTATTTCCCCAGCCCAGAAGATCTTTCATCTCTGTTACATACTGAATTTCTCTACAACCTTAGCTAAAAAGACTGAAAACAAGCTTTCCATTGTTAAAGCTCCTTGAAAAGTTATTTTAATTTCCTCCAACAAATCTTTTAAACTTTATTAAAAAGGTGGGCATGGTCAGCTTATTTTTCCCAACAAAACAGAATCAAAAGTTACCCATTTCTGATATTCAGACTTCAACTAGTTTTATAATGCTTTTGGACCATAATTTTTAGTTTTAAAATTTTTTAATCTAATCCTTTTAACAAACACTGGCTACCATAAGATGATACAGACTACATTAATACTCACACTAGAAAAATAATTCAAAACAAAATCTAGTGGTAGATTAGCAATATCATATACATATATAAATGTCAGAAGAAATATAAAAAGTAGGCCAGAGAGAAAGCTCAGTGGCATAAGTGCCTGCCTGGCAAGTATAAAAGGGTAAGGTCCCAAGTTTTATCCCCAGTATCACAAAAAAAAAAAAAAAAAAAAAAAAGAAAGACAGATAGACTTATCTACCAAAGAATAAAATGTATATGATTTTATCTTTATACTACTTTTGCAGTAAAAATACTGCCCTAACTTTATACATACAAAACCAAGGTACTGTACAAATTTAAACTCTACTCAAAGTAATAAAAGAAGGTTAGATGTGATGGCACATGCCTGCAATCCCAGCACTTAGGAGGCTAAAGCAGGAGAGGAGGATCACTGTGAGTTCAAGGCCAGCCTGAACTGCGTAGTGAATCTCTGTCTCAAAAGGACGAAACAAAAGAATAAAGGAAATTGGGTCTACAAATATACGGTACGGTACAGGATGAGCACCCCACCACAAACAGTAGAAATTTAAAATGTTCTGAAATCCAATGGGCTCAATAGATACTCAAAATATGTGGTGAACAATTTGGACTGGAGGTGCTCAATTGGTAGTCTATACAAACAATACCAAATCAAGAAACCTATAAACTCTGTAACATTCTGATCACAAACATTTTGGATAAGAGATATTCAACCTGTGTATTACCCCACCCTATTTTTCCCCCAGTAGATCAACTATTACTCATCTAAAGTAAAGACACACTATATATACCAGATAATAATAGTAGTCTAGAATAAAACTCATGTGAAAAATGCTGAATTTTCATGGACTCAACAGCAAGTTGCAAACCCTTGTAATCTGGGAAAGTACAGTATTCTTTCATGGTTAAGAACCTAGCTGTTTGTGAATGAAAGCAAGAGACAGGAAAAGGAATATTGTGGGACTGACCTGCTTCAAGGTTGTATATGGTGAGACTTTTGGACTTAAGTGCAAACATGAGAAGTATAGAATTCTTTATCCTATTTTTAAAATATAATCTAATTTTTAAATGTTTTTTATCATATTATGTAGGGACTTAAAGTTCAACATATCAATACTTGATGAAAAATACCTGTTCCTTATTATGCCTAAGATGTTTGAAATGCAGTGAGATAGTGAGGTTAAGCTTCATGGCCTAAATAGTTTGATAATAACAATAAGCTTTTCTTCTGGATGGTTAACAACCTAAGTTTGCAGACCAAAATTAGAGAAAAAGGAGGGCTACAAGGAAAGCCAACATTTTGGCCCTACCCTTCTAAGGTCAATTAAGACTCAGGACATATGAGAACATGTACTGTAACGTCATGTACCTCGGTAGTGTCCCAAATTTTCTGATCAAGAAGATTATGGGGCCAAAGAGGAAAGTGATCGATGACATAGAGTGTGCCTAAGGAGAGTCACATGGGGAGAAAACATTCTCTCAGGCTTTCACAGAGAGCACATTGGCCAAGCAATGGCCATGACTCATCCACATGGCAGCACTGACAAAGGTTCTACAATCTGAGGTACAGGATCTCAGGATAAATCCTGAGGGGATTTCACTGACCTTCTCAGACCAAAAAGCTACAACTCTTGTTGCATAGGTCCTGCTCTACCTTGATCTTAACCATCCAGCAGAAAAGTATGAAGACGAAATATAGGAAGTAAAGCCATGTTGTTATGTTGAACTGTGGGGGACTCAGTTCAATAATTTCTGACATTGCCAGTTAAACAGAAGACCCAATGCTATTATGGGCTACTGGACTCTTTTAGAATATTTTGCTGAGTTTACACACCTATAATATTCAATAACGGAACTTAGAAAAAAATGGGGTATACCGATGAATGTCCATTTTGTATCTGTGTATTCAAAGTGGTTAGGATAGATATATAGTTGCATTCTCTTAATGAATAGAATGATTTGTTCTAATGGTGTTTGTAAATAGGATCTCAAGTCTGCATCTTGTACAGCAATTAACCACTAAGAAGAATATTTGCAGTGTATTATTTGTTGAAACTGTACTTTCGATTTGATTTGAAACTGTCTCATTGCTATCTGTTTATCAATAAAAATAAAATAAAATAAAATAAATAAAAAACTGGCTGTTTAATTTCCCCAAAGCAGTCTCTCAAAAAATAAGACATTACCTCCATGTTTAGCAAATTTAGGGTTTGAAAGAATCATCTTGCAAAAAAACTTGAGGCCATTTTTATATTGCTTCTGTCCATAACACTTCTGCAAAGATAAGCCAACAAGTTATTTTATAAAATAAATGCACAAAAGCTTTTATCAATTGACAGCACTATGAACAGGTGTTCCTTTTTGTTATCTATTCCTTACAAAACTGTTTTAGAATCTTAGTATTTTCACTTTAAGAGGAAATAAGAGAATTTAACTGTCAATCTCAATCACCACAGAATTAAAAATTTAAAAGGAAAAACATAAACAATAAAATATTAGGAATTCCATGTCTTTGCCACTAAAAGAATGAAGCCAATACTACACACACACACACACACACACACACACACACACACACATATATACTACCATTTACTGAAGGACACTATGTGTCTGTACAAAACTTACTGACCTCAATTTTTTAAAACTTTTTTGGGGGTACTGGAAATTAAACTCAGAACCTATGCCTGCCTGGCATGTGTAAGGTCCTGTGTTTTATCCCTGGTAGCATTAAAAAATAAAACATTTAATAAAAAATTTAAAATAGAAATAAATAGAAATAAAGGCCACCTTCAAACATTGAGGGGCAGCCAGATAGCTCAGCAGATTAAAGCACCTTCTTAGGTAGATGCAGGGGCCAGGGGTTCGATCCCGGACCTGCTGTGCTGGCCTCACACCTGGGATGTGCTGAGCCAGTGATTGATACTGGGCGTGGTGGTGCCCACCTGTAATCCCAGCACTTGAGAGGCTGGAAAACAGGAAGAATCACTACAATTTGATCTGTGTAGTGAGATCCTGTAGACCCTGTACTAAATACGTTTAAAAAAAAATTCTTAAGATGAAAATATTCAAAATCCTTTCTTCTAGCTTTTTAAAATATACACTATTATCTAATGCTATAGACATCTAATATACCAGAACTTCCTATTCCTATCAAACTAAGTTGCCACTGATCAAATTTTCTCAACTCTGCACACCCACAGAACTGTGACAGGCCTCTAGTAATCGGTTGGACACCACAGTGAGTTGGCACTGAGCAGACTTTACAATTAATCAGTTCTCTTTCTACATTAACTTTTCTGTCCCAGGATTAGGGAGTTGCCTACAGATCCAGCAGCTGGCACACAAAAATAGGGGGATTCTCCATGCCAACAGTCATAGTAGAGACCTATAGTGACCTGTGACATCTCTGAAGGTAAGATAACACCACACCTATGGGCACCAATTCTCCCTTAAATTTCCAAGGGCAATACTACGAACCTCGTTAACCAAAGTTCTCTCATTAAACAGACTTGCTGCTTAGAATATCTCTGTGTCTTGCTCACTGTCACACCTTTTTACCTCAGCTATTCCATGCGCTGCAACCTCCTCCACACACGTGTGCCAAAATATATAGCAATTTGGAGAAGTCTTGCTCTTAACCACATGAGCTCTAATCTTTCTGGACCCCCAAATACCATACTACTATTGTCCATTGTCTTTTATCCTTCACTGTATACATACCCAGGGGGTTGGGAGCCCAGCCAGCTCTGGACACTAACCACCATTCTACTCAACTTCTACAAGATCAATTTTTTCTTCCAGACAGGATCTCCCTAAGTTGCTAAGTTGCCCAGCATTGAATTCAAACTTGTGATCCTCTGTTCTTAGGCTCCCATAGTGTTATTCAGGTGGTTATCATCACACCCAACTGAAATTGATAATTTTTTAGGTTTCACATTTAAACAAGATTAAGGGGCCTGCCAGTTAGCTCAGTTGTTTAAGTACCTGCTCATTCAAATGCAGTCAGGTGTAGGGGACCGCGGTTCAATCCCCAGCTCCACATGCCTTACCAGTCCTACCCTTCAGGCAGCCTGAGCCAGCCAAAAGGAAAAAAAAAAATCCTTCTCATATTTAAACAAGATCATGGAGTATTTGTTTTAGTTAATTTTACTGTTATATTTTAGGGCTGGCCAGATAGCTCAGTGGATTACAGTGCCCGCTTAGGCAGATGCAGGGCCCGGGGTTTGATCCCCAGTGTGCCATGCTGGCCCCACCACCCCCAGCAATTGAGACTGGGCTGCAGTTGAGACTGGGTGTGGTGGCACACGCCAGTAATCCCAGTGCTTGGGAGGCTAAAAACAGGAGGCTCACCACAAGCCTGGTCTGTGTAGTGAGACACTGTAGGCCCTGTACTAAATACATAAAATAATAATAATTTTACTGTTATATTTTAGACATACATAATGACCATATTCATCAGAGGAAATATACCTGTACAGCATATATCTTGATTTTTCTTTTTCCCGAGTCTCTTCCCCTCCTTTTAACCATACTTTCCATTTTTTCCATTCTGTTCCCCTTCCCCTCTGAATATTTTCTTCCTATTTTCCAACATCAATTATATATCTTGTTTGTATTCACCCTTTTGGTTTCTCATACCAGAAAATAATGTGATATTTACATGTCTAACTTATTTCACTTAAGAGTATGGTCTGAGGCCACGGAGATAGCACAGCAGCATAAGTGCCTACCTGGCAAGCACAAGGTCCTGAGTTTGATCCCTTATACCAAAAAAAAAAAAAAAAAAAAAAAGTATGGTCTCAAGGTACATCCAATTACCTAGAAATGTCTCAAGTTTATCCTTCTTTATGGTGGAGTAGTATTCCACTATATAAAATGCCATATCTTTCTTATCTATTCATCTGTTGGTGGACACCTGTCAGTCTCCTACCCTTGCCAACTTACTGTCTATAATGCCACTTTTATTTTCTACACAGTGCTCTTACTCTCTGAAATTCTTATTTGATTACTTATTTAGAAACTGAATTCTGTACTACCATGTAAGCTCCAAGAAAACAGGGATCTGGTCTAGTATAAACATTCCCATAACTTCGACAAATAGGAGCTGCTCAATAAATATAGTAACACCAGCAATAGATAAGGATGTGATCGATCCTGATAACAGGCAATAGATATGGGGGAGAAAATCAAGTCTATATAGAATAAAATGTTAACAGAGCATGGAGGTGCTTACCTTTAATCCCAGTAATCTGGGAGCTACCACAGAAAGACAGCTAAATTTGAGTCTAACATGTTAATATGGCCAGACTCTGTGTCAAAATTTAAACTTTTTTAAGAGGTAGGGATGCAGTTCAGTGCCAAGGCCCTAGGTTCAATCCCTAGAATCACAAAAAGAAAAAAAAATGTTTAAATTAAGTGCTGCTGATTGCCTCTGGGAAAGGAAAGCAGGTGACTAGAAGACAAAGGAGAGAAATTTAAATTTTGACTGATGTGAATGTATTATTCTGAAAATATTTTAACAGAGTTTTTTACCACAGTAGTTTACTTGAAAAGTGATGAGAAAAAAAAAAAAAGTGACAAGAAAGGGGAGAAGAAAAAATCATCAGCAAAGAGGAAAAGACTACTAATGAGAAAAAGAGTATAATGGTACTCATATAGCAAACACCTATTTATTCTGAAGGGCTTGTTCTTATTTAATCCTTAAGTACCAAGAAAACCTATAACACATATGCTATCTCCCTTGAGATGGACAGTCTGAGGCACAGTTACTGAGTTTAAATTTAGTAAGGAATTAGTATAGGAAAGATATTCTAATTTCAGCTTTGCTATTAGTCAGATTAAGAAAGGGATGGGGATATAGCTCACTGGCAAGCAAAGTTCCATTTCTGGTTACCCCCCAGCCCCCCCCCAAAGACATATAACACAATCAAAGAGCCTGGAGAGGCAGTTTAGATGGGGCAGATACAAGCCATGCAGAACACATAAATTAGCCTGTGAATTTGTGCGGATGTGGGTGGATAGCTGGGTGGGCCAGTGGGTTGGTTGGTTGAAGACAGGGTCTTGCTATATAGTCCAAGCTGGCCTTGAACTGGAGGTTTTTAACTGGCGGTCATCTTCCTGCCTCAGCCTTCCGAGTGCTTCGATTATAGGCACGTGCCACCACTCCCAGATATGTGAACGTATTGGAATTCAATGTAGCAATATTTAAACCACACTTTCTGTACTTGTAGGATGATAAAAACAATTTACTTTTGCAGCATCCTCAATTCATGCCAAATTATAATAAACATTAAATACCTAGATAAGAAAATGTTTAGCGTTTCCCAATTTAGGCATGAAATTAACTGAACAGCAGCTTTCATTTTTTGTAAACTGAACATATTAAATCAAGTAGTTTTAATTTATAAAAGAAGTGTAATCTTTTAAATATGGAAACTGTTCTGAAATTCAATTAATAGATGGTTTCTCATTAATGTTTGAATGTTTTTGGACAAAGAAAAAAAAACTAAAGGAGGCAAAAAACGAGAAAGAAATTCGCTTCTCCAAATTCTGACTTTGTCAAATAGAGAACAGGAGGAAAACAAAGGTAAAATAATAAATACATGCATCCAAAGCCAGTGAGGCAATCTGCCACAGGGTTCCCATTCCTTTTTTTTGTTTGTTTGTTTGTTTTTGTTTTGACACTGGTCCGTCATTACTCAATATTAATAAAATTTAAAGTTTGCGTTCCATGTACTATGTATCATTCTAAAGTTTCTACTGGCTTGAAACAGTAGAACTTCTTTGAATTGTTTTTAGTCTGTGACAATACTTAGAACATTTTATAATTAGTTATTTTACTTGTAAAGTCAAGCAACTAGTAATAACTACATAGCAACACAAGCTCAGCACAAATTGACCCTTAAAATTTAAACACTTGTTCAGCAAAAACAGCACCCGCTTGTTTCAGATATAATAATAATTTTTAAAAAGTACTGCAGCCGGCATGGGTGGCGTATGCCTCTAATCTCAGCACTTGGGAAGCGGAGGCAGCAGTCACTGTGAGTTCGAGGCCAACCTGGGTGATACAGTTAGCTGAAACACCAATCCTAACTGCATGGTAAGCTCTATGTCCCAACAGCCTCGAAAGGATAGCTATCTGCTAACTACATTAATTATAACCGTTGGTCCCCATTCCATACTGTAAATAGCAACATTTGTCGCCCCTCCTCCTCGAAAGAATGGAACCTGCAAAACTGAGGGCGCCAAGGCCTCCGCCTCCAGGCTCATTGGCAGCGGTGCGGAACGCCCGGCAGCGTCTCAGGTTTCCATTCGGACACAAAGGAGCGCGCTCCTCCCGCGCAACGCCAGCAATCTCCAGTCACAGAGAAAAGCCAAGGTGCTCTGCAACACTGGAGGATAAATCCGGTGCCACACCCACTCAGAAACTCGCTCTTCAGTGGGTTTCGGCGCAGAGCAGCGGCGAGCGCCGCCTGGGGTCCGCGGAGACTCACCCTGGGGAGGGTCCCGCGGGCGCGGCTACCCACCCGCTCAAGGGGACTCGTTTAAAGAGGGTGCTCTCCTGGGGCGGGAGCGGGGCACCGCGGCGGTGGCAGGACCGGGGGACACCAGCGCGAGCTGCTGCGGGGAGTCGGGCTGCGGGCACCGGTCACCTCACAGGACTACCCGAGCCGAGAGGCCTGCGCGGTGCTCGCTCTTTGGTAGGACTGGCGGTGTGAAAGGCAAGCGGGAGGAGCGGGTTACTTCAGGATCCGGCTCACCCTTCCTAAGTGAGCAGCGGCTGCGGAGGCTGCTGCGATAGCCTGCCCGCCACCCCAAACTCGAGGGACGCGTGCGCAGAACGCCCGCGGGAAGCGTCGGGCTGGGAGGGGGCTCTTGCTGTGGCTCTGGTTCAGGCCCGTTGGATGTCTAGCCCAAGGTACTGTGACTTACTTCCAAATCGAGAAGGAAAATTGGTTTTCCTTGTCCTTTTCCTTTTCTTTTTTGCATTTATCTTCCCTCAGCAATTTAAATCGTGCTAGACACAAAGTAGATTCTGGATGTAGCACAAATTTGTTTTCCTTCCCTTTCCTGCCCTGTTTAAACTCTTGTAAGAGAAGCCTATCTTTTCAGTTTAGGTCAAAGACATCTTCACAACCCATGTGAAGACACAGACAAGGCCTTTAATTTTGCTACCTAACGTGAAAGCACGTCTGAAAGGTAGAAGAAACATTCCCAGCCCTATACAGCACCTAATATTTTCAGTGGGGACTAGGGTGGTTTTTGGAGCCACTGATCCTCCAGGTCTGGCTCCTTTATCTTCAAATGTTTTCCTTCTGGCCCGGAATAGTGACACACCTCTATAATTCCAGCACCCGCGTCCTGAGACAGAAGGATCACCCACAAGTTCAAGGCCAGTCTGGGCAACATAGTGAAACTCTGGCTCAAAAAATAAACCTTCCTTTCTTCATCCAAGCCATCTAATAGAAAGACAGGGTTCAAACCCAACTCAAGGGCATTTTCTACAATAAATACAATAAATAATAGTGTTATGGTTTGTGTCTAGTTGTC